CTGATTTTTCCGTTTTGTATAGCCCGAGGGACAGAATTAGAAGAGGTGACCAATAGAACCTCTGAACAGATATAGACTGGTGACATGCAGTAATAGAACATGGTACCCACCGACTAAGGATGGGAATTCCACCCACCACGTTAAGTTTTGTATAACTAGTCTCAATGCTACCATATGTTGTGAACAAGTAATACCAGATGGGGGACATGTCATCTATGAGTTCCAACCTTCAAGTGTGTCTCAATACCGAATACAGAGCCTGGCGAAGGGATCTGCCCCTTTAGGTGACATTTTCTGGATGTGTCACAATAAGACACAGATGTTGGCCACACTACCACCTCAGTGGGAAGGCATCTGTGCACCAGTAATGCTGACAGGACAACTAAAGTTGATAGTAAATAACCCAATAGGTATTAATGAAGCATCTAACAAAATAACCAATCGCGCTAAAAGAAGTACTCCCGTTAAACATGAGTGGAAAACATCGGATGAGGTATATCACCTGGGATCAGGTCCCATATGGGGTACCTGAAGAACAGGTTGCCATAGGGAGTGATTGGATTATAAGAGGAAGAGGGGCAGGTTCAGTACCAATTTACGGATCAATTGTTAATGCGCAGTATATAGCTCGCAATAGTAGATGGGTAAATCTCCTATGGTATAACCAACAAAGATTTATAAATTTTACAATAAAAGGTGTAGATCTGGTAAAGGATCAATTCCATGCTACTTCACTGATGGTTCTACAAAATAGGTTTGTGCTAGAATCCCGTATGGCTGGGGACCAAGGGATATGTGATTATATAGGAGAGGATTGTTGTACTGTGATTCCCATGCATACAGATGTTAACGGCAGCCTCACAGGAGTCCTACAGGAAATGAAACGCATGAGAGATGAACATGTGCTGCAGTCTAATTGGAACACTCAGTTGAAGGGATTCTGGGATTGGTTTAATAAGCTTGGATGGGGAAAATATCTTAAGGCAGCAGGGATGATTCTAGGAGCAATATTATTAATCATATTGATAGTTATTTGTTGCGTCATACCCCTTGTTCGGGGACTAGTCTCACGACTTATGTCAGTGTAAGTGGACAGTTCCCGATTGTAGAAATACAGTTAGACCAAGTCATGTAGAACATAACCATGATCTCTTCCCACCCCCACCAGGTACGTGCATTTCTTTAATAACAACATTGTATGTATGTATATTAATTTGCATAACAATGACTCATATACTTACTCACGTAGATATAGTAATTTGCATGCTGAATTATCCATAGATTTAGGAGATAATATGCCTCATGATGATATCTAAATATGCCCCATTATGTCTCCAAATGCAGATTAATTGAACATGGCAAAGTCTTATGAGGAAGCTTATTATGGCTCATTTTCCCCAACCAGAGAGGATTACCTAGAGTGCAACAATAAAGAGAGATACTTCACACAGGCGTCGGTAGGCACACAAGTAGAGGAGGCCGCAGGCTCTAATATTCCTAACAGACAGCCAGAAGATCCCGCAGGGGGGACAGACATCGCACCTTCGGGGTGGAATAAACCCATGATGACACCCAGCAGGCAGCCAGACGATCAACCACCACCATCTACAGGGAGGCCAATGTCCAACCCGCCATCATCTGGAGCCCTCAGGATCGACGTCGAGCCAAACAGCACCCCAGCGAGTCACGAAGGTCCGAGGACAGCCCGTCGGATCACTTCAGGAGCTGCCATCCACATCAGGCGTGCAGGCTAGCCACAATAAGAAGTGGCCTCCCTCTCCGCGAGCTGGGCGAGATGTGGTCTTCGCAGGCCTAGTGGTCAGCATTGAGGAATATCAGCACCTTACAGGGTTCTTTGCTCATCCAATGCATACCTATTGCTCCATCAATGACACTGTACCTGAAGTCACCTCTATGACTAAAGAGGTGTATTCAAAGATGATGAAGGGTCTGGAGTACCCCACAACACGTCGTCCAATACAGGCAGTCCGTTGCAGCTTATACAAAACCAGGGAAAGGGGAAAGAATCAGCGCTTGACCCGGGAGAATGTGGAGCTGAGACATCAACTTCAAGAGGCACGGCAAATCATAATCACCCTGCAAGAAAGGTTGCTGCAGCTGACCGCTGATCAAAAGCGCATGGTTCCCTACCCCCATGGAGGCCCAAACTATTATTAATTTCAACCACAACACCATACTGGATATAAAGGACAAAGCTGATTATTAATGATTATGAATACCTATGTTATAGATAATTGATAGAATAATGGTGTATATGCATAACATATGTGACAGTACAAGTACTGTGCAGGAGAGAGCCACAAGGTTACTCGTATGTTGGTTGTAATGACGGTCCCTTGACCATTAGATGATGTGATTGCCTGGCATAGTCCAGGCATGATGGAGCTTCTCTTGGATTATTTATGGTGTGTAATGACACCATGTGGAGGGGAATGCAGTGAACTAGTAGGAGATGAAGCTGCTTGGGCATTGGGATTCCCCTCTGCTTAGAAAACAATAACTGAAAATCCTTCTACAAAAAAAGTAAGCAAGAGGAAAGATCCTCATAAGTGAGCCAAGAGGGGGATCCCTCTTTGTTTTAAGATGTTCTCCATTTTTACATTTTACACTTTATCATGTAATAACACGATCTTACATAACTCACTAAGCATATGGTGTGTGTTAGTCTCACTATTAGTTTGGTGTGCAAAATATATAACCAGCAGTTACTTTTGAAACTTCGCATTTATAGTGTTTCACTTTGACAATCACCTGTAGATTCACTTAGTGATCCTTTTCAGGATAACAGGGGGGAAATGTAGTGAATTAATCTGCACCAATGATTAGAATAAAATAGAATCAAATGTTTTACAATGCATATAGAGTTGTTTCTCAATAAATACATTTATGCTATTAAGGCCAAAGAGAGAGAAAGAGAACAGTGTGTGTATGGCTCTTTGCAGCTGGGCCCTTTGAAGCTTGAGAGATAAGAGCAGGGGTGTAAAAACCAGGTAATAGGATGGGGACAGAATAATTAGACTAGATACAAAACTGTGATGCTGCAGGATTGCAGGAATGATGAAGATGAGGCCTTTTGATGATGAAGTCACACTCATTAAAAATGAATTATTTGGACATATCAAGATTGCACAGGCCAGCTGCACCAACTGTGATTTCTGTGTTGTCATATCCAAAGTGATACTGTGCGGTACTGAGGGGGTACTGAACAACCCAAAAGCGATGTGTTACTGATTCTTTGAGCTTTGAGGTTATACTGACCTTTTTAATAAAATGTTATGATCATAAGTCACACTGGATGAAAACTTTGTTTTGACATTTTAAAGATTAAGGCTATGATGTGTTTTTGATTTAATGGCAAGAAATGTCACCATGACCTGTAACAGAGGCTTTTAATTACATATATAAAAAATATTTTTTGAAGGGGGTTTTCCACTGTTAAGATAAAAATAATTGGACTTACCCTAGGAAAAGTACCTAAAGATGATGTAAAAAAGGAGGGGCTTGTGGGAGGAGCCCACAAACCCCTGGAGTGTATAAAAGAGGGCCATTTTCAACATTTTGTCAGTTGCTTACCGGTGATCAGCTCATGTGGTTATTTTGTATTTTGCAATAAACCACTCTGGACCTGGACTCAGTTGCCTCTGCCTGATTTTTGATTATTGTTTTGAAGACTTTTCTACTGCTTTTAAGAACTTTGAATTTTTACGAAACTTAGCACCAATTATAAGTCGTTGGGAGGACATTTTCCACGACAAGTACAGTAACAAAGTATTTGTACTTCTTTACTTGACACCTCTGGTTAAAAGCATTAGGGGACAGTGGGCCAGACCTTCATCTGGAGTCACATGTTTACATTCAGTTCAACTTTTACTACAGCCTCCATCATATCCAACATTTAAGATCTAAATCATTGTCATTATATCCCTTCTTCTCAGATCTTCATTGGTTGTTGACTTCATTATTTTTAATTCTGTCCCACATTTCATATCCTATACTTGATCAAACTGATGTATATTTATTTACCAACAGGCTCTTGATTCACCAGCAGGTCAAACATAATGTGTTCATTGAACCACAAGGATTCATGTTTCTGAACATACCTTTGTTAGAGAGGCTGTCAGTGTTTCTACACCTCAATGTTTCTGATGCTGACATCTCACTGACAGCATTAGAGGCATTGCAGGTGACTGTTGTGTCTCCATCTTGTGGTGTGATGTGGTAATGCAGCTTGGGGCCTTCATGTGTTTGGTTTCCTACAGTCAGGATGTAGTTGGTGTTTCTGTGAGGAGCTGCTCTGCATTCCAGATAAACTGTGCAGGATCCATTTAAGTCAGGCTCACTGATGTTATAAACCAGTTTGGGCTTCGTAGATATTGGCTCTGATGTGAGAACAGAGGGAGAAGGAGAGTGACGGCTCAACTACAGCATTAGTCTGTATAAAGGAAATGACACAATCAACCAAGTAAAGCTCAGACTTTGAACTGATCAATTTTATTA